AACAGACTCGAGGCACTTTTGGAGATGGTTTTTGTGCAGTGCTTTGAAGAGAAGTGTTAAGATGAACAGGGTCACCAAGATGAACTTAGCACTGCTGAGCACTATGATCAACTCAAAGGAGTCCTTAGATGGGAATTGTGAATTTTGCATTTCACCTGTTAGAAGGCAAAAGTAAAACTGGGTATAAATCATAACATCCAAGTGTGTGGCCCTTGAGTCCAGGAAGACCAGCAGTTCTGTGAAGCCTCAGATTCCAGTTTAATGATTCCCCAAGCAGTGCATTTATACATAAAACCAACATGAGACTGTGGGCTGATTGCTTTACCTTAAAAGAATACACGTGTGGTGGGTTTAGACCAGTTAATAAGCTTGTCCCACTACCACTCTACATGTACTCTGTACGTTCAGTTAGTATATGATTACTAGTTCCATGGTAAAAGAAATTCCCTATTCACCTGAGGGAATTCCTGCTCATTACAATCCTGCTAGGCTGTGAGTATTCTAGCTTTCACTGGCTGTGTTAGTCTGGTAGCTGTTAATGCAGTTCCACACCTGGTCAGTGCAAGCAGTAGCTATGCACTAAGGTGGAAAATTACTGTCCTTATGTGACATATATCTTATGAAATAGCTGGGTTTATCTTGACAGGAAAAAACTTTGTCTTACTTCTTCTCTCCATACTTAAATACCTGAATTAGGGCTGAGAGCTGGACACTAAATCTCAATCTTCTGTAAATACAACAGAAGCTCCTTAACTCGGCAAGGTATTTTACTGCTAAGAACAAAGCTGTACTTAGTCTGTAGTATGAATTCAGTGTGAACTAACTTTAGGTAGGTTGCCAAACATTAGGGTAGGCAAAGTTTACAATCAGAATACTCTCAGGTTAGATATGAATGTGAGGCCATGGAGATAAGTTACTGCAAATTCAGAACTCCTTCTAACAATTACTTATGTGTCAGAGAAGACTCAGAACAGACAATGCCATGTAGCCATCTCCTGGAGCTCCCCAGTGCTCCTGGAAAGCTCAGGAGTGATACTCAAACCATGTTACTCTAGTGTGAATGAGAAGACTTTCCTGGACAACACCTGACAGTGCTTGTGATGGGTGCATGATGCCAAAGCGCCAAGTTTGGGGGACTGGGAAACTTGGAAGTCGAATTTGGCATGTTGAGTGCTGAATTAAAATGTCTGCAGGTTCAGCTGTGGATGGCCATTACACATTCCACACCCAGGAGGAGCCTGCCCCTGCTTGGAGCAGCGTTTCAATGGTAAAATCACAACAAAGCACTGTTTTGAAGCCTCCCTTGGTTCACATAGCATTGGTAGCTGTTATCTAAATAAATGCTGGGCATTTATTAGTGTCAAATGGGGGAAAAAAGAAAAAAAAGCAGTGAGCTTCTCTGCTGCATGCACTCAAACAATGGGTCTGGATAAACTGACTGTAGATCCTAGGCAGAAAGCAAGCATGAAGCCAAGCAGCAGTTGTTCTGATTGAGTGATGGTTTTTGCAACAGTGCTAAGAAAACCTTGAGCACTTCAAGTAAACAGGTGATCTGTCTTAACGTGCTATTTTACATGACTTCAGTTGCAGTTTACAGTGAGAGCCTTGGGTGACATGGTCTAGGGTGAGGTGTCCCTGCCCATGGCAGGGGCTTGGAACTGGATGATCTTAAGGTCCTTTCCAACCCGAACTATCCTGTGATTCTATGAATTGCACCTCGTACAAATATACTGTGTATTACAGTGAACTGTTTTAAAACATTTGTTCTTGCTCAGTAATTGAGTCTGGTTAATTCTCTTGCTAAAGATGGAACCAGTATTTATACTATGTAGTTATACCTTTGTTACTAAAGAATGTGAAAATAGATATATTCCTCAGTTTGCACTCTTGCAGGCAACCTATAGTAATGCTTTCTGGGACCTTTACAGACTCCTTTGGGAATGCTGCCCATCTGTTTCATTTAGATAGCTGATGTGTTTTCCTGTCTTTGCACATTATTAGCAACCCCAGCAGTATTTCTGCATGTGAATGGAGTGTGTGGCTTAAGTACAACATAGTGGCCTTGCCAGATAAGCAGCTGAATGCTGCCCTGAAGCCTTCAGTTAGCAGCTCCAGCTTCCCCCTTCCTGGAGGTTTGGTTTCAGCTAAAAGCCAAGTGGATCAGAAGTGAGAAATACAATGATGCTTTAGTGGCACTGAGTACTGCCATGGAAGGGGTTCCTTCTTTTTTCTTCTTACAAGGTCAGAAAACATGTTCTCTCGAATCTGTGGACCTTCACCCCTCCTTCCTGCCCCCACTGTATTCTGTGCATCTTATTTAATGTGTTGGTTGGTCTAAGCAGAAATGTTTGCTAATTGCTCATTTTTACCTGTTTGAACAATTAAAGCTATACATAGAAACATAGAATGGTTTGTGTTGGAAAGGAACTTAAGCTCATCCAGTTCCAACCCCTTATCACAGGCAGGGACCCCTTCCACTGGAGCAGCTTGCTCCAAGCCCCTGTGTCCAACCTGGCCTTGAACACTGCCAGGGATGGGGCAGCCACAGCTTCTCTGGGCACCCTGTGCCAGCGCCTCAGCACCCTCACAGGGAAGAGCTTCTGCCTAAGATCTAACCTGAGCTGCCCTTGTTCCAGTTGCAATCCACCATCCCTCGTCCCATCTCTACAGTCCCTGATGAAGAGTTCCTCTCCAGGATCCTTGTAGGAACACTACAGCAGTTTACTGCTTTATGCATATCTAGCTTTATACCACAAAAGAGTGATAAGCTTTTAGTCTTAATGGTTTCTTTTATTTTGGGGAAGCAAGAAATAACCTTTAGGAAACTCTCCATGAGGGAATCGAGTGTATTTCTGTCATATTCTGCATTAATACAAAATGATGGTTGCCTTCTAAAACATTGAAAGGCTCAGTGCAGAGAAAGTATTCTAGAAGGACCTAAGTGCACACACCACTGTGTGTGTTTGAAATCTTCTCCTGCAGAGGTTACTTATGCAGAATACCATTTAATAAAGCTGGAGGAATTCTGAATGTTCAAATGCACGCCTACTTGTGAAGACACCCTGTTACTCTGGCCTGCACCGGAAGGAGGTACAGCCTTACTGAGACAGTTCTTTGTTGCACCGAGTCCTCGGGGTGAGGAGTGCACTTGGAGAAGGCAGAGTTGAATGCTGCTGTTGCTGTGGGGTTGGGAAGGCTGAGCTCCTCGCAGTGGTGCAGTGCTCACTGCGGCTGCCCCTGCGGTGCACTGCTGTTGTGGGCTCTCTTCTTGTGGCCGGTCCCACCATAGCTTTTGCAGGTGACCAAAGCCATGAGAAGACTGCAGTGTTTTGGGTGTCTTATACAATTCTGTTAGAATTCTCCTTTCAGGAAGTTCCTATCAGTTTGAAAGAAAGCCCAGTATTGGTTCACGTGGGGTTCATGACCTGTCACTGTGCCAGTTGGTGAGCTGGGTCAGTGTTTCATTGTCTTCACTGTTAGGTCCTGAGCCCTGTTTCAAGTCTGATGTAACAAGTCCTACTCCCCACCCTTTGTTAACAAATTTCTCTCTATGTAGACTCACACAAGATGTGATCTTGTAATTTCCTAAATTCCTCTGTATTAAATGAAATTCATGAAGTTCCTTTTAAGATACATTTTCCAATCCTTTATTTGCATTGCAGTTGTTTTTTGGATTCTTCTGCAGCTGATTCTCCTGGATTTGTAGGCATTGCTACTGAATTGTTGTAGCTTATCTAGACCTGGAAGTAAATGAACCTTTCTATCCCTAAATGATATTCCCTATTTCAACAAGAAAAGATCCCATTAGCCCTTTGCTGCAGTGTCGTACATGGGAGGTCATGATGACCAGATTATTGGCCTTCTCTGTATTGATTCCTCAACCCATCTTTTGTTTCCAGATGTATGATCTTGCTTTTAAATGCTTGGCACACCAAGTCACCCACTGCTCTTTGCATCTACAACTTCTGTCTTCCTGTTCTCCACGGGGTATCATGTGCAGACCTTAGCGTTGCAGTGGGGATGCTGTCTCCCAGATCATCACTTGTTTTATGGGGAGAGCATTTGACTCTGTTCCTTTCCTTTTCTCAATCTAAAGCTCATGCCCAGCTTTGCTAGGGATACTATGGGTGTTACCAGGAACCCCACTCCTGTGACTAGGTAAAGAGCCAAGCGGTCTTTAGTGTCTTCAGCAGATAACCTTGAATGCCTGGCTCAGGTTTGGGGCTAGGAGGAGCACTTGCTAAATGTGTCTTAAACTGAACTGACATCAGTAGCATTGATTTTAGAAGACCTTCAGAGGTCTCCCATAAGTAGCCTAACTTCACCAAACCAGATGGAGTCCCAGCTGGAATGGCTGTCCTTGGAGCCTCATGAATCAGATTAGGGAAAAAACCAATCTGCCTGAGTTGCTGCAGTGTTTTTAATGTGAGGACCAGGGGGCAGGAGGAGAGAAGGGAAGAGCTTCAAAGCTGTTGTGTCAAACCCAGTGCATGGAATGTCAGTAGGAAAACCGGAAGACAAGCTCTGGAACTTTCTCAGGAATTTGATCAGCAATGTGTAGAGCTGTGCAGGAGATCAATCTTGGGTGAGTATGAATGTTCACTAAACACATAGAAAATACTTTTTTATTGTCAACTCTCTAGGAAATTCAGTGATATTTCACATTATTTCTATGGATTATATTCTCATTAAGAGGCCATCTTTAAACATCCTCAGTAAGGGGTATATTCAGTGACTGACCTATAGAACCATAGAGGTTTTGCTGGCAGGAAACTGAACCTGAAGAAGATAAGGAATTTACACACAAGAAGGGTCTTCCCAAGCCCACCGGGACACTGTGAGGGGTAACGGGTTGTGAACTCACACAGCTTCTGAGTCAGAAAAGAATCACTAACTAGTACATTTGTGTTCATCTCCATCTATTACAAAGCGCAGGATTTGGGGATGTAAATCTTCCCCCTGAGAATTCAGTGGGAAAATGCTAAGTTAAGTGATTTAAAAAAATTAGAAACTGCTTTTCATGTGAGTAGATGGCAGCAGAATGAAACTTGCCTATAGTACATCACCAAGCTCAGTCTGGAAGGAAATGAAACCAAACTTGCCTAGCTGGGGACCCACTCTTTGACCCCTGGGATCTGTTTGTAGCATCTTCCCCCTTGAAACTGGTGTTGCCAGTGCATGTGCTGCTTGGTGGTGGCAGAGTTGGGTGTTTCTGTTAAACCTAGTGGCAGCAACCAGCCTGAGGGGGAGGCTGGCATAGGTTTAGTTGGCAGACCAGCTTTTTGGAGAATTTCAGAGCCCATGCTGCTAAAATAAGCGTGATTATTGCTCCAGCAATTAAAATGAGGTCTCGCCAAAAGAACTCCAGGCACTTGATGGGGAGAAGCCTCTTGCAACTCCCCAGCTCATTCCCAGTCAGCTGCCTCAAGGGCTTCATCCTCACGGGAGCTGGGGTTGCACATATGGCTTTTGCAAGAGAGGGTGCAGAGACGTCTTCTAACCAGAGTTTGAGGTACAGGATGTGACAGTCACAGTTCCAAGGGTTGTCAGAGGTTTTCACCTCCTCCAGGCTGTGCAGGCTGTCCAGGGTGCCGGGAGGAACCGAGCTCAGGCTGTTGTTCTGGAGATAAAGCCTCTTGGTGTCAGCGGGCAAGGCAGGCACTGCTGTCAGCTTCCTTGAGCTGCAGTCGATCTGCAAACCCTTTGTGTCTCCCAGCGACTTGCAGTCACAGGAGGCAGGACAGGCTTCAGCCCTGGTCATGTGGAACAGCAGTGATACAGCAAAGCCTGCAGCAGTGATGAGCTCCGTCTTGTTCATGCTTCAGCTACCCGGGGAATAAGAAGAATATTAATCTGATAAGTGGGATACATTAGCATGTTTCTGAATTCAGAACTACAACACAGCTATCTCTCTGGATTACTCGGGAGGTTTAGGTTTTGGAAGCCAATCTTTAGCTTTCTATATTTCCCACAGAGCCATTCTTTCTGACATTAAGTAGCATAAAAGCAGCGGGGAGAGTGCACAGTGTTCCCATTCTGTCTCCAGTTCACTGCTTTATTGTATGAAATAGATTGTTGTTCAAAGATCTGGAGCAGAATGTCACCAGGAGGTGATGAGAAAAACTAGTCAGGTTTAGGCCAAGATTTTGACTCTGTTGCTATACTTCACAGGCCTAGTGTTAAAATGGGGTATTGAAGTCAGTTTTCAAAATTGAGTTCAAGAGATTGAGTAATTGTAGATCTCTAGAAGTCTTCTTCTGAGACGATGAAAGTTCTAACCGGGGATCATACATAACACATAACCAGGAACCACAGAAGAACCTGCAGGAAGTATCTATTTTGATGTGGCAAAAGGCTTCTTTTTGCTGCCCGCTGGCTTCACATCTCCAAGAACATACAGTTTAAGACACAGGTGGATGGAGAGCTGGGCATGTTCCACATCTGGTACTGCTTGTCTTTTGGGGATTAAATAACCATGCTTCGCAATAGCAGGTATTTATCCCTTTTGCTGTGTCATTCCCACTTCTGTAGAGTAGATCCCACTGGACTTCAGTCTTAGTCCCTGTGTTCAACAGTTTAAAACCTGAAAAGCTATTCTCTTTCTCTGTTCCCTACTACTTCTCTGCATTTAAAACGACACAGCTAGCCTTGGGACTGGAATTTGAAATACAAAGTCCCTTGCACAGGTCAGGGAATTTCCAATCTTGAAACCATCTTTCTTTATGAATTTAAAACAAGTGAAGACTATCTTATTTTTCTGTAGGAAGCTTCTTTTAATAAAGTCTAAAATAGTAGGGAAAATGGATGGATTTTGGTTTAAATCAATTTGCTTCCATTTACTTCCAAGGATTGTGTAAATAGCTTTTCAGAATTAAGTTAGACAGCTTTAGATTCCTGAGCTAAATACTTCATTCCTATGTTTTAAATTGGATCAATGCTGCATAAAAGTTAAGCTTTGTTACAGAGAAGCTGAAATGTGAATCCCACCCATCTCCTGTGTCTTTGCTAGCAAGGAGTTAGTGGGAATATCTTGGGTCTGAATACTCATCTGTTCCTTCAGGAGAAATCTACTAGAGCTGGTGTTTCCAAAGCAGACATCTTAAAAGGACAGACTCTGTCATCTGACTAAAAAAGTCAGGCAATATCTATAGAAAAGATGATCTCATCTGATTTAATATAAAGCCAGCAAGAAAATAAGGCAGAAACGCAGAGAGGCAGAGCTGGGGAGATGCCTGACTGACACTTACCCTTATTTATTCCCTCTTGATTCCTTTCCCTCTGCTTGGTGAAGTGCTGCAGTGCACACAACAACTGGAGCTGACATTTAAGAGTCACTGAGGAAACGTGATAGAGAAGATGGGCCTTTTCCTGTGCGTAACAGGAAACCTTCCCGCTGGAAGATGCTGTGTGTGGTTGACATGTGTCATGGCACAGAGTGCTCAGGGCTTCTTGTGTTTTCTGCAGACAGGAGGGAATGCTTTTGAATTTCTCTTAGTGCTGATGTATTTTTCCTACTAAACCTGACAATGTCTGGAAAACCTGAAATGACTCGTGGCAGTCTACTGGGTTTTCCTCAGCTGTAATAATCCACAGGTATAAAAGCTGGCTTGAGCTTCAGTAGCTGGCACATGCAAGGCCAGGCAGGAGACAAGGCAGCTAAAGCATGCCCATGAAACAGAGCTCCTGGTTCAGTCCAAGCCCACGTGTGTTTGATAGCTGCCCTCCCAGTGGTTAAGGAAAATGTGTAAAACCACCATAGCATCAACATAACAGATCAGTCAGATGAGATCAACTGGAGCAGCTCTGCTCTGGAGCCAGGCTGAGAGAGCGGGGCTGGGTCAGCCTGGAGAAGAGAAGGCTCCTTAAAGGGAGACCTTAGAGCAGCTCCAGTGCCTAAAGGGGACCTATGATATGTCCAAAACAGGGTTAAGCCGACAAGTGAAAGGAATGTTGCTGTGATGATCAGGGATGTGGGGAACCTCTTGACTGTGAGGAAGCTGAGTGTGACCTGCACCCTGCAGCTCTGAGCTGGAATGCCAGACACAGGTTGTTGCCCCTGACCGAACCATGGGTGTGATGGATACGTGTGTATGGGTCAACTGGTCAGTTCTGTTTTGGTTCTTGTGATATTTTGTGGAACGTGATTGCTTTGTAATGTCCGAGTTTACAGTTTAGCAGTGGATTCCCATGTAGTAAGGGTAGGCGCACTGGAAAGGCCCACTGTCCCCTTCCTCAGCACAGCCCCAGGGGCAGGAATGGTCTTGGGCACATACAAACCATGCCCCCAAGGCTGTGTTTGGCTCACCAGAGGACTGTGATCCTCCCAGTTCCTTCACACTTCAGTTGCTGAAGAGCATAACTGCTGAATAATAACAGTGCAGTGTCTTAGAACGTAACATGCTCTGCGTATATTTGGCTGGAAAGCCAGCAATTCAGCATGATGCAAGTTTATAATATACATGTATCTGGCCATCTAAGTAAAGAATGCCATGTTTGTGTAGAAGAACATCAAAAATAAGATTTCCTTTTCTCTTTTTAATGTGAAATTTTGGAGTAGAATTGAAGGAAGCTTTTCTTTGGTTTAGTGACCAAACACGAACCCTCTAGACTGAAGACAGCAGCTGACATTTGGAAACGCGGTGTGTTGTGGATCTGATGTTTAAATCAGGCAGTTCTTGTTCAGCGTGTTGTTCCAGGGTCAGGCTTTGGGCTGTGGGCTGCATTTGGAAGGAAAGCCAGGTGAGTTTCAGACATTGAAGGTGTGCAGTAGAGCCCTGCTTCTGAGCTGTTGTTTCTTTATAACACACTCCTCTTGGGGAAGGGAAATTACTCTGATAGCAAGTCCTGTGATTTAATTCTTGCTTCTATTTAAAGTACTTTTCTTCATCAAGTCTAATTGAATACCAGAAGCCTGAAGTTTGTTAGGAACTTCCTTCAGAAAACAACTTACTGCATAGCTCTGCTCGTCAGTGTTTCAGAAGGTAATTTAGACAGTGCTGGAGGGAGAGGATGAAAATACTTCAAACCCTGTTTGAATTTTGATCTCTTCTGTGAGATGAGGAAAGTGATTCTCCCTTGTCAAAATGAGGAGCTCACCTGCCTGTCAGGTGTTCAGCAGCTGCACCCATGGCTGGACTGCTGATAATGGGAAGAGCCTTCCATCTGTTTTGGAAGTACGTCGCTAGACCATAGATGTGATAGATGCTTCCTGTATCACAGTCTATGCCATGTGCCTCAAGGAATGCTGCCACTAAGAGTAAAAATTTTCCTCTTAACATGGGGAAATTGAATGCTGCATCTTTTTGCAATGAATCATGCAAAATACTGGGAATCCTCTGGAATCCATCCTCAAATTCTGCGCAGTGGGTAATCCTCACAGAGGCTGTCCTGCACTCCTCTGGCTGCTGTGCTACACGTGGTTGGTCATGCTGGATCCCTGACTCTGTTGCTCACTATGAGGACCATGGGCTAGCTTCTTCAGCTCCATGCGGAGGTGAACGTGTGCAGGGTGTATCTGGCAGAAGCAAAGCTTAGAATCCAAGACATTTGCATTTATGGCTTCAGGGCTATAGCTTTTTGTAGGACAAATGAGGATTCTTCATTTAAGAGGATTTATTAGGAGCCAGTTGGGGGGAAAAAGTTATAATCTGCTATAATGTTGTTATAGTCTGAAAATATCCTTTCCATGGAGTGAATCCATCTGAAGGTTTTGTGAATGAGAAGGGCTGTGTCCTCTCAGCGGACACGTACTTCTGACACTCTTGTTTCCCCTCTCACTTCCTTGCTCCCTGGAAGCTCACTTCTCTGTGTTAGTTTTTGTGTGAGGCCTTGACTGTTCCAGTCAGCTCTGTGGGTACTGTGTCTGACTGCTTAGAGAGGGAGACGAAGGAGGTGAAGGGAGAAGCAGGTAAGAATAAAAGCTGCAAGTGCCAGATCAATGTGCAGCTCAAACGCATGACCTGCTAAGAGGAAACTGGGGCAGAATATGCTGTTATTCTTTATAGACAGTTTCAAGGAGTTATAGTCACTTCTTGCTGTTAGTGACCTGTTCTTGACCTAGAATGAACTCCTTCTCCAGCACTCTTGCCGCTCCAGTGCTGAACAACCTTGCTGCATCACACTGTCGATAGATGGCAAAGTGCTTCTCTCTCAAGTTCTTGCATCTTGATTAACTGTGTTCTTTCATATTTGCAAGTAGATTGCTGAGAGCAGACGAACCAAAATAGTTCTTTAGAATTGGATGTGAGTCACTGGTAATTCATGAATTATACAAATAAGTGAATAAGCAAAAAGAAGGGAAAAAGATCAATCACGAAATTCATTCCCACATCAAGGAATATTGCTTGCAGAAATGAATTATAGAAAATCTGTGATTTCTCTCGCATTAAGAGTTACTGTTGCCCCAGGGCCACACGATTCCTGTTATCTGCTGTACCATACACAACTAGCCTGCTAGAGCTAGTGTGTGTATGTAGGAGGACTCTGAATTTCCTCCCGTTCATATATTGTGTTTCCCATTTCACATTTACTGTGGAAAATCTGCCTCTGTCAAACCGAATATCCTGTTTCCTTGGGAGATTATTACCCAGACACATAAGCTCTTGCCATTGAGGAAATTCTCCTCCTAAATTGTACTCCACCCGTTTCATCAAATACTTCTTTCTCCTCCCACCCATTCTCATAAAGAAACTCCCTTCTTGCTGTTGTCACTACTCAAACTGCACGTTGCCCTGCAAACATCAGCTATGGCTTACCTTTCCACTAGGTGTCCTTCCAGTTGTGTTTTTGTTAAATGTTGAGCGTACACTGCCTGAATCAACCCTTAAATATCATTTATCAATTCGAAATCATTGTCTGAAAGGCTGAAATATTATATTCTTTTAGGATATTGCATTTTCCATAGTTTCCAAGTTAAAAATGTAATAGATGTACGAAACGAGCGTATTAAGGGACGTGCCTATGCCAGACAGCCAACCTCCTGTTTGTGTTCTGTGGAGCTCTGGGGGTCTTGAGCCCGGTAATGAAAGCAAATACTTACAGACAGTTTGGATCCAAGCTGTCCTCAGGAAAACATTCACAACATTTATGCTAAGTTGTGACAATGATTTAGCACACGTGGGGAAGATTCTAGAGTGTCTCTAAAATCACCATTAAGAGCCCACCATCAAGGGAGTATTTCCCTCCACACGGTAGTGCCTCGGTCATGCCCTGCATTCCCGGTTCAGTTCCCAGCTCTGACCATGAACGCAGACAGCCATCCCTCAGCAGCCTCCACAGCCAGTGTTTGCCAGTGCTTCAGGAGCTGAGTGTGGTGTTGGCACCATGCTGGGAAGTGCTCGGCTTGGTAAATGCAGTCACCTGTGCCCCTCTCTGCCTTGCTTGCTTTGCTGAATTAAAAGTAACCAGTTTTCCAGCTCTTTATGCGCAGCCACCGTTACTCAAAACACACCACCAGGTTTCAGTCAGCTACAACACAACGCTGCATTTATGTGAATGTTTTATTTAGGATCAGGATTGAGCTTTCAGAGCAAATCATAGAATCCCAGCCTGGTTTGTACTGAAGGGACCTTAAAGCTCATCCAGCCCCAACCCCTGCCACGAGCAGGGACACCTTCCACTGGAGCAGCTTGCTCCAAGCCCCTGTGTCCAACCTGGCCTTGAACACTGCCAGGGATGGGGCAGCCACAGCTTCTCTGGGCACCCTGTGCCAGCGCCTCAGCACCCTCACAGGGAAGAGCTTCTGCCCAATGTCTCATCTAAATCTCCCCTCTTTCATCTTATCTCATGATCTTTTCCATTTTCCATGCATTCCTTCTAGAGGAAGCTATTTTAGAGGGAACTAAACTGCAATATTCACTCTGTAAAGATGTCCAGTTTGTTCCAGGTGCTCATGGAGGTTCAGTACCTGGGACCAGATTAAAGATAGTCCAAAACAGCACCACCTCTCCTAGTATGTGTGGTGGGATGTGGTGTCCTCAGTTCCAGATTGCTTTACTGCCCGATTTATTTGGGCCATTCTTTTCACATTGCCGGTTTGGCAACCAAGGAACCAGCCACAAGTGAGCCCTGTTTGAAGGCCCTTTAGCTGTGCAGTCAAGCCTGCTAGAGATCTTTAACCAGGTTACTGCATAATAGCAGTAGGAGGACTGTAAAATGCCTGAGATTAAGCAGCACTCTGAGTGCTGTGGTGTTTAAGGAGTTTGGTGCTCAGCAAAATCAGTCTTCATCCCCATGAACTAAAGTCCTGCTCTTTTCTGCTTGCAGGGTTGGAATGTTGAAGGCAGGACATTGAGCTTTACGGTCTTGCTGAGCAGTTGCTCTTGGAAAGATCAATTAGAAATTAATGAGTGTCTGATGTAAAAGCGT